CATCTAGAGAGAAACTATGGCCTCCTTCGATGTCACATCACTCTTTACAATACATATAATACTCTTGATGAGGTGATGATGGTTGTCTGTGCAAGATCAAAATCAGGCACCACTTATAGCAAGGGAACCACTCTTTCCAAAAAGCAACTGTGGCCTCCCCTGAAACTGTGCCTTCAGCCAGCCTACTTCACATGTGCTATGGGATCACTAAAATCTCATACTGTTGCAAACCTGTAAATGGAAGGAAGGCTTTAGTGTCCAGGGACACCAAGGTCCATGACACCTGGGTGTCTCAGCAAGTCCAACATGTCTTTCCTGGACAGTTTATGATGGAAGACAGAAAAAGACATGTACTGCAAATCCACTCACACACCAGTACATGTGGTTTGACTGCCATCACCACTGGAGCACAAGTTAAGATTCATTAGGACTCTCTGTCCAAAAACTGACTACAACCTCCAAACAAACACAAGAGCCATGAAGAAGGAGAAATCACAGACAGGACAGGTTCTAGAACGATGTAGAGATTCCAACTGGGTTTTATTTACTGCAAACCGGAAACCTGAACAGCGCACCACCAGCCAGCCATCACAAAGGAAGAATCCAGACCGGTAGTCGTTCAGAATGCTTCGGGAGTTCAGGACAAGCGTAGGTGTTTTTATTTATTTTTTTTATCATGATGTCATGGTGGCATTTAAACCACCGGGCACTTCATTGTAAACACTTGTCACCCAGTACAAACACGGTACCTTTGTATATACAGTTATATACTGGTATATACTGTGACCAGTTATACATCAGGAAAACAGTTACTGGCCAGAAGGATGGTCCAACACAGAAGAGAAACATAAACAGCCTAGGGTGCTACTGTTGTCACTCATCTGGAGGCCAGTGATCACTCTTTGAAGGAGGAGGGTGCTCTCATCCTGGATAGGAAGGAAAACTGCTTTGAGAGAGGAGTAAAGGGCGCATCTTTAATGAAGAGAAAGTGTCCATCTTTAAATGGAAACTGTCCTTCTTTGAAGAAACATTTAGCTTTGAACTGTTAACAGCAACGTACAGTCTGGTAAACTTTTTTATTCTAGGTTATATTTTAGACCATCTGCCAGCAATACACAGAAAAGTATGGTCCAATTCAAGTACACTCGTGTAGAATTGAAATCCTTTAATTCATTCAAGTCCTCATACTACACACAGTCCAACTAAATCTTACGAAGCGATATTTGTATTATTCAGGAAAAATCAGATAAAAAATATATATATATAATTCCAGTAAAAACAGGAAGGTATCTTTATTTTTACTTGCAGGCATTGGCCTGACTGGACAACAATTGTTCATATGTGGCCTGTATCAATCCTGCTGCTATTTCTGACATCAAAGCAGATTTATTAAACTTACAGCAACAAAGAAAGAATGATAGCAAGTTATAAGGAGTGCATTGATAGTTATAGTTATATTAGTTACTTATTTAACTAGTAAGGCTAAAATAAACATGTGAAGTAACAAAGAAAAAATACTTTGTTACCTTACTTACTTAGAATTATTGGCTAATTCCTTTTAGACAACTTTTTACTTCTACTCCTTACATTCTTTGCAATTATTTCTACTTTCTACTACATACATTCTAAAAACTTGACTAATTAGTTTTGTTTCATTTAAGCTCATTTTTTTTATGGCTTGTCAAAAAACATAAAAAAACATCAAATGGAATCAGTACTGCACCAACTTGTAGTTTACAACATACCAAAATATATAGTTTTTCAACATGATGCAAAGTTACATTTGACACTGTAACCATTAGTAATAAAACTAAGAAAATTAAGTATGGTGAGGTTCATCCAGAATCCTAGGAAAACGTTTCTTTAATACGGTAGTGAAAGCTTAAGTCGAAACTCTAACTTCTACAAAAGTGTTTTAAAACAGTAGGATTTATACTTTTACTTGAGTAATAAACATAAATACTTTTGACACCTCTGAAAATTAACCATTGGTTAATATTATCAATTATCATTTGCTGTTTGTCACAGAGAAATAATCTTTATAAACATAAGAGAAACCATGAAACACTAATGAAGGACTCATTGGGGCATTTTGTTTAATATTTAGTTTCAAACTCCAGCTACAAAGTCCAGTGTGCTTGCTGTTTGTTTTTTGTTTTTGTTTTTTGTGGTCGCTTACTTGAGGTGTGTATTTAATTAAGGCAATCAAACAAGGATAAAAGGACAAACTTCTCCAATGGGAACTAGTGATTCATCTTCCAATTAAAGTGTTACAGTACACATAGGGTGGCCTTTTTGCAGCCCTTTTGTATAAATCTATGCAGAGTAAAAGAATAAATAAATGAAAACATTGAGTTAAAAAAAACAGGCAAATGTTTTAAAAAATCCAAGCCTTTTTACAAAATTGTCTAATATCTAGGATTATGTATTGCAGTAGCCTTGGCTGGGGCAGTGGAACTGAAACAACAGATGGGGTTAATTTCAGAGTAATTATTATTTAAAAGGGATTAGGGTCACTGTATATGTATAAGGCCTGTATTAGAGGACCCAAGCTTGAGACGAGGAAGCTTAACTGCCCTTTTACAGCTGGCTCTAAGTTATATATTATTTTTCAGGAGTATTTGCAATAACTAGTTCTTTTGGTTTTTTTTTAATCCAAACAAAACATAAGATCTAAATCTTTCAAAAGATACTTGTTCAAATCCTCTTTTACACTGAAGTTTTATTTTTAAATATGACAAAGATATTATTACTCTTACTGTTTTCTGGAATCCGTCATATAACCATTGCATTTATTAATGAAGACATTCAACAGATTCTTCCAGTCAGTTACAAAACTGCAGATTAGGGCCAGGGTGTCATGGTTTTGGTTGTGTTGTGCTTTACTTTGCTCCTTGCTTTCTAGTTTTATTGGTTTCATTTCTAATTTGTTGTAGTTTCTAAATTTATGTTAGTTCTTAGGTTTTTCTGTTTTTTTTCTCTGTTGCCCTCTTGTGTGTGTTCCTTTTCCCTTGGCTCCCTCATAGTCTCCTCAAACCTGCTCCCTGTCAGCTCGTTAGCCCTGCCATTGTCTCAGTCAGCTACATATACTCTTCCTCTGCAGTCACTCCTTGTTGGTTCCTTGTCGTTGCTGGCTTCTCATGTTGTCTTCATACCTCGTCTCTCCCTGGCTCCTCGTGTTTGGTTTCCCCTGATGTCTCCATGGTTCTGGTTTGCTTACATTTTTTTTGTTGGATTTTTGGATTCCTGCCTTTGTTAACCATTTTCATCATTAAAACAACAAGAATTCAGCTCAGCCTCTCTGCCTCTGCATTTGGGTCCTCTAAACCACAACCAAAACGTTACACAGGGTTTTCACAAGGATTGTTTGTGAGTCTACAAGGCGTGTGCAGTCTTAAGAGAAGCAATGTAAAATTAGACTGGCTTTATTCTATAACTCATCCATCTCATTCTCTGTTTTATTTTGCCTCTTTGCAAATTGAGCCCACTCCTATTCATTTTGTTCTTTTCTGTTTCATACTGAGAGAAGCTGTTCAGATATCCCATTAATAAGCACATTTTTAGATTGGCCTAGTGAGACGTTGTGATGATCCACTTGCGACTGCAGGGTGTGGGTAGAGAGAGCTATGCACCACTGCAGCAATGATGCTGCATTTCATGTGCTGTTTAGGAATCTAACTTAACCTCCAGATTGCCACTCCACCACTCCCTTTAAAGGTTGCCTTCAGTCTGCTGCTGGGAGTCTAAGTGTTCACCTACATGCAAGAACACGTGACTAAGGGTGTTAGTCAGTGACAGAGTATGCAGTTTGTTGGGCAGGCTGGTGGTCCTGTTGGTGCAGGAAATGCAACTGAAACTGTCAAAATAACACATTTCCATAACTTTTTGAAAACAGTTTCTGCACTAGAACTGGAATTTCAGTGGAATTTTGATAACTTCAAGGTTAACGGCCCGTTAAACTCAAATGCACATTCATGCCTCTTCGCTTTCCCATATGATACATCCTAATTCTAAATTATTTTAAATTAGGCTCTTTCATCAAGGTTCTATGCCAAAATGATTACATTTGATACAGTTTTAAAAAAACAAAATGTGGAAAAAGTGAATCTTTGTGAAAACCATGTGTTTTTTCATATGTTACAAACAAATACCAACATATGAAACACTGTGATTGCAAATTACTCCCTTTCCCTAATGTTGTGCAGTGCTACTACAGGTATAAGGTGGTAGCATGGGCTAGACATCATGTTACTTGTGATGAGTTTCTTTGAATCATCTATTAATCTAAACCAGCGCATGATTCATTTATCTATTTTCTCTACCAACCCTAATCTTTTATGGTTGCGATGGAGGCTGGTGTTTATTTCCTGTTTTTAATAGCAGAGCATACCATGGTTTGGGATGTCAGTTTAAGCAAAATATTTTACTTCTGTATTCAACTGCATATTCTCTGAGCTACACTTAATCCGGGAGCTGAAGTTTTTTTCAAATGCATTCAAAAAATTTGATTTCTGTCACAGACAAATTGAACATTCTCTACAGTATGTGGGTTAATGGCTTAAACCATCCGATCAATTGTGCCTGTTTACATCCCAGAGTTCAGTTGTGCAAGTCCACTTTTCAAAACAAACATAATCAAGCTGTCTGTGTCCTACTTAAATATATAAGAGGAATGTCATTAGGAGGACACTAGCACTTAAGGGAACTAATTCAATACAAGTTGGCTGCTGGAATTAAAGCAACAAAAAGCAGAATAAAGACCAGCCAATTAAACTGTCAACATAGTGTGAAATAGGTAAACACTGAGAAAGACTAAAGATGAGTGTTTTCTTTGAACAACAAGAAGCAAAAAGACAGTAGTTTATATTTTTATTATAATCTAATTAACTAATACCAGTCAGAGTTCTTTCTTCTGAGACTACACACACGATAAATATCAGCAAAACACTCTGGCAAGACCTTGTGTATATCTTTAACACCATTCATTCAGAGAAACTTACGGGTTGCCATAGTTCCAGACAACGCACTGAGGATCTGATGTACCCTGCAAGATAGAAAAAAGAGGGAGAAGATAAGCTGTTATTGCTTGTGGAAAGGAGGTGGCAGAGGGAGAAGACAGAGTAGTTTCTTGCCAAAAGGGAAAAAGAGTGATGCTGCATGGGCAATGGAGGGAAGCAAACAGACAATGAAAGAGAAGGATTGTGACAGACTGCGAGCGTAAGACATGGAGAAAGAGTCTTTCTTAATAGGAAGGAGCAGTAAATAGCTGCTACTGATGCTGCTGCAGAAAAAGAGAAAATGTGTGGCACAGGTCGGAGACACTGGGATAAATAAAATAACAGATTTTATAGACATGATCAATACGGATGCATGCAATTTAAAAGGATGGTGTTCAAATTCAACTACATACATACAAAAGTTAGTCTAGTACATTTGACAATAATAAAAAAGAGGAAAAATAAGGAGGAATAAATCAATTTAAAATGCATAAAGTCTGAAACACCTGCAATCTGACTGTAAACTTGGACAGAGCTTTAAAATGGACTTAACATGTTCTGATATTAGCTTGCCAGTAATTTCATTGACTAGCTGATGCCAGACCCCAACAGGCTGGGCTCCAAGTGGAGCATAAATCACTGTAATCAAAGCTGGTGGCAAAGGAAGACTCTATATAGCTCAATAAGTGAATCAATCAGGTAATCAATAGCTTTAACTGACTCATCAAAATCTGTTCCAACAGCAATCTTAAGTAGTCCCCTTACTGATTAGTTTAAAATGGATTCCCTCAATCAAATCAAACAGGGGGGTAAAATCTCTGGTCTTTGGGTGCAGCTTTTGTGCAACCCTGAGTCCGTTTTCTAATGACTGCTGAAAGATTTTTAAGAGCTGTAGTTGAGTGAACAATGCTGAAATCTGCACAGTGGTGAAAGAGGAGTAAAATGGATTTCCATCTATTTCAGTATGGAAAGTCTTCCTATGTCATGAATAAAGCACTTTGCCTTTGAGCTCCCCCTTATGGCAAATGAGGTTATAGCAGGATTCCAGCTGAGATTGTTCTATTAAGTGCCTTAAAAAACATTAAAATTAGCTTTGAAAGACAAAAAAAAAGTGCTTGCTGCATTTTGCCTACACCCCATTTGAACTTTGTCCTCTAAATAAAATCCAGTAACACTGATTGCCTTTATAAAAAATTGAAAAAAAATATCCCTTAGACATGACCAGAAAATCTAATGAATCACTTTTAGATGTTCAACAATTGTCCAACTACTTATACAAACTTATTCAGTGAAGGACAGCATTTCTTAGATATCTACTGGAAGGGCAAAAATATACAGGAAAGATGGGATGATCTGTTGAATAGATAAATATTAGTCATGATATTTTGGAAAAGAATAGAGAAGAAAGTCACTGTTGGATTACAATAATATAAGGTCTTGTTTAATGTTGGCAGTCTCATTTAGGAAATACAGCAACAATTCAGAGGGAGGTGATCTGGCCAGTTAAAAACAAGCTACTTGGCAAAATGGAAATATTTGTATGACAGACAATTAAAATGGACCGCTTTATGCACAACCTGAATTACACCTTCATCATGCTGAAAAGATAGTGGCCAAATCATACCACAGGAATGTTTTTCTTCAGTGGGGACAGGAAGACTGGTCATGTTTGCTAGGATGATGAATGGAGCTATATACTGTAAAATCCTGGAAGAAAACCTATTAAAAGTTGCAAAAGACTATATAGCAGCAGTACATCAAATTTAAGCATACAGAAGAGCTCCAATGGAATGGTTAATGTAATGGTGCTCAAACCTATCAAATCAACTTCCACCACATAAAAACTGTTTTGTTTTTTTCCTGTACCATTACAACAGCGTGCTTTGTATTAGATAAGTAGAAGGAAAATAAAATAACAACTCACTTAAAGTAATACTACTCATAAAGTAGAAAAAATATATATATATATATATATATAATCTGCCAAGCATATACCCTAATAATGTTTATCTAATCCTTTTATTGTGTTGTGAGTGATCAGCAGGCTTAAAGTTTGTTGTGAATTACTGCTATCAGCCAGGGGCTTATGTCATACCACTTTCGAAACTTGAACAATGACGAGTATGATACCCATTCCATACTGTCTAATTATACCAAAGAGCCTAAGAATAACTTTGCTTTTACTAGTAAAAGTATTAGTAAAGCCCTATAGTCACACATCCATTAACTCAGCAGAGAAATCTTAATGAATCTATACTTTTAGCTCCTGCTTCAGTGAACAGTCAAGGTCTGTCAACAAGTCGAAAAAGATGACAGCTAACACTGTATCAAAGTTTTAAAAAGCTTACAGCGGTTAACAAGCTTTTTTTTTTTTTATAATTGAGACCTAAATCTCTTCTGAACTCTGTTAAAAGCAGTCCATAGCTTGATTTTAACTATTGGTTTAAATTAAAGCATTTTCATATGTCAGATTTTTGAACAAATTCCTGAAATAAATTTTATTAAAAATACATGTTCATAGAAAATCTCACCTTAGCATGAGTCACCTAGTAAACAAAAAACCCCCAAAAAATATCAAAACTAAATTCTTAAAACCCGTAGACAAACTAGACATAAATAATGCTTTTTTTAAAACAAAATAATGAGTCATAGGGATTGAAATCATAAGAACATGGTTTCTATTTAGAAAAAAGAAAAAAAAACTTTTTACTTGAACTTTGGTTTGGTCTATTATGGAAAAGTGTAACATGATACAAGTTCAAAGGATCTGAATACTTTTATAAGGAACTGTATGAATAAAAAAGTTTTGAACATGGTAATTTCTATAAGCCAGTAGAATATGTTTTCCAGTGGATTTTAGTTAGTTTTAACTAAGCCACAAAAAGCCACTGAACACAGAAGACAGTAAGAATATGATTTATTCTGCAAAAGACAAGGTCATTTGTCCTTCTCCAAGCAGTCCAGGAGAGTCCTACCATGAATCTATTCATCCATGACTAGACTTGAGAGGACGGGATGATGTAAGATCCATGTACACAGGATCAGAGAGCAGATGACGAGGATTGATGGTTGAAAAGTGCTTTGTTCTGCCTTACACACAGGCTGCCGTCACCAATGTTAGATGTCCCTGGACGTGCATTAGTACAGCAAGCTCTGTTAGCTTGCAGCTATCAATCATAGGATCATGTCTGCTAAAACGCAACTGAGACTTTTTGATTTCCACACTGTATGGCTTCTTCTTTGCACACTGACATAATCTGCTTAAATGATGACTTAAAAGGAAGCAGTTTGCTTGATGGCGATAATAGCATCTACATTTGAATTCCCCTTAGTCTTGAACGGGACAACCATTGTCTCTACGGCAACCGTTATACTTCACGGCATGTAGGGAGCTGATGTTCGTTCTGGATATGGTGAGCCGGTCAGATGAAATATTCTAAAAAATCTAAATCTGAGCCCCTAATTTCATGATTATGGTTGCCAAAAATAAATGGGGCAATCGGTTGGATGTTTTTTTTACAGGCCAATTTATTGATAATTTGAATTTACAAGGAAGGCTTGGGTCTATCAACTGAACCAGGATTTAAAATGTGCATGTGGAGGATGGAGCAGGTGTTGTGTGGCACTTGGCATATGTTGAACTGGTCTGCTTTAGGGGCATTGGGATTCTGGGCCTCCTACATCCTCCTCACCATTAAAGACACAGAATTTAGGGCAATTGGGATAAACATAGGGAGCCTGACTGGAGCAGATGTCCTTTCAGTGAAGACATGACCCTGTACATTTGCCTTAGAGATTGAGGCGCAGGGCAGCTGTTGCTTTGCCACAGCTCAGACAGCTGGTTGTTTCTAGATTGACTAAGGTCAGACCTGATACATAGCTATTTTGTCTTAACAAAGAGGAAAATTATGTTGTGAGTTCACCTGCCTGCTTGTATTTTGTATGGAGTGTTAGATAATATAGATAAGTATAAATAATAAAAACAAAATATATTTAAAGTCCAACTCAAAAGCACACACATAGCATTCTTTAGGGCAGGGCCAGTTCTTGGTGTAGAGCTCATAGATGGTAGCCTAAGCTACCAGGTGCTGAAGTAGTTGAAGTAGATAAGACTAGAAGAAAAAAAATAAGAAAAAAAAGCAATAAAATCTAGGTTTGGATAAATAATAGCCTTAACATGCATTCCTGAATGGTTCTATTTTCTCATGCTCTTCTAATACTGCCACTGTGCCACTGTCAGTGGATCTTAGCAGGTAAAGATATGTTTGAATGACTTAACTCATGTTTGATTGAGAGAGTAATCGAGAATGAAAGCAAATTTTTCAGTTACAGTAAAGGTAAATAACATAAAAGGCAGATTCCGTTGCTACAAGCTGAAGCTAAAATATGATATTTGGCTTCAGTCAGAGCTCTTTGCTTGGGTTTCAATATTAGCTTAATTTTTGTGTTTTTCATTAAATCATATCAGGCCTATTATCAATTAATAGCTTGGATCATTGTGTTGGCCAAAAGCCAAAACTTGATTCTTATTCATGTGAACTTGTTAAGGCAGTTTTGTGAGGCTCTGCACAGTTTTTTTGTTTTTAGTTAATTGCCACTGGAAATTATGAAATGGAAATAATAAAACCCTGTACCCTTATTTCAAATGAGTCGAAATAAAAAACCTTCCAAATGAATCCTTTCAAGTTCTGTCTTATCAGTTTTTAACTTAAAAAAATGACATCATTAACATTTTGTGACAGACATATACTTCCTGATGCCTGTGTATGAGATTCAAAAATGAAAAAAAAAAAACATTTAATCTCTATGATTGCCTTTCTCTTTGCAAATTTTTGCTCTAAATGGTCTGTTTAAAAGTCACTCCCCATATGATGTCATAAGGGGGAGAAAGCTGTTCAGAGCGGTCTGCAGCAGCCCATTGGTAGAGTTTTGGAATTCATCTAATGTATTATTCCGCTTTCCTAAGTTATCTATAGAAACTCTGACTGGTTGTCATGGTTGCACGTTGTGTGTGTGTGAGTGTGTGGGTGTGTGTGTGTGTGTATGGGGGGGGGCATCTATGATGTGTTTGTCAAAGGGTTCTCAGGGGAAGAAGTAAAAAGCCTATTTCATTCTTTTTTTTTCTTGTTGATTAAGCTGTGTGCTGAAGTTAAAACTTGAAATTTTGATTCTGAACTTTAGAACTAAAACAGTTTTGAATATTTTTTGGTAAGATTAGTTTGCATAACAAAAACTTGTTTTCTGTTAATATATTTGCATCAGAATCTAGTTCCTCTTAAAGGTTATAGCTACAAATTTGTCCATGTAAACTTTTTATTTCTTTTCAAATTATCTAGAGTGGTGCAAAATATATGAATTTTACAGGAAAAGAAATAGAATATAATTTATTTTTTTATACATTTTGACAAGCGTAAAATACACAAATATTTACTTCTGGTAACATTGCCACATACAACAGATAAGGATTCTGCAGAAATAGGAATAGCAGGTTGAAAAATAACTTATTTATCTTTAAATATCTAGCAGCCATGCATCACAGTGTGTAGCAGTTATCTTTCTCACATAAATACAAAGCAAAACAACAAACACAATGTAAATTATCAGCCATGTGAATGCAAATGAACAAAGGAATGAAATAATGGAAAAACAAAAAATAAAAAATAAAAAATGCTATATATATATGCTAATAAATGTTATTAAATAAACCTTATAAACCTTATAATACCTTATAAAAATAGCTTTGAGATTTTTTCAAGGCGGCAAATATTCTCCAATTCAACATTCTACATACAGTTATTGAAACATGACACTTCCAAATGATAATGCTGATTGAACTGTTTGCTAACTCTCTTTAGCCTATAAGCATTCACAGTGACACACCATTACATCTTGACTGTAAACTGCTTTAATCACTTGAGACAGATAGGCCCCCCAGTTTCATTGGAGAATTATGGGTCAAGCCGAAAGATCTAGCTGTGATGAAAGCAAGAGTTTGCCAAGTTTTAAACCAAAATATACATGGCAGCACAGGAGGACATGCATGCTGCTGCTGCTATGGCATCTGTTTGGTCAGAATCCAAGCAGGTTTCATATGTCTTTTGCTGCCATTATATTTGTTATAGTGATGAGCTAAAATCAAAGTTTGGTAGGCAGATAATAGTTTTTTTTTGGGTTTTTTTTTCCCAACCCGCTCTGAAGGTTCAACTGAATGTCCCTCCTATTCTGAACAGTTTTCATCAGAGGAGTCAAAAAGGGCCCTGTTCTCCAAATTGGATTGAAGCCAGTGCAGTGCTGTACCAGAAAGACCAACCAGGTTTTCCAAGCTATCAAATACATTTTGGGGTTCTTCCATGTTCTGCATTTATATGGATGTCATTGATACCATGACCAGGGTAGTCTTTGTACTTGGGTAAGCAGGGATGCCCAGTGAAGTGGCTTTTCATTGTTAGGAAGATGTTTAGCGGGTGGGAAAAAAGGTTTTTCAATAATCTTACTGATAAAGGGGAGATTTAAGAAAGGTCTGTAGTATTATTATCATACTTAACTCCAAATCTATGGCTTAGAACTTAATTCCTTTGGTAGTCCCAGCACACACAAAATCCTAATTTTAAATACAGTGATACTTTTTCTACCTGTTTTCCATTACCCACATAATCTTTGTAAATCATCCTCAACACATCTACTTAATGTATTCATATTACCTTTCTTTCTCTATTAATTTAGTGTTTAGTTAATTTTGTATCTCCCTCACAACTAGTCCCTGGTTAACTAGTGACTGGAATAGTTTAAAATAAAATTAATATATGTTTGTTTATTTATTTATTTTTGTATATTTGTTTAGTTTTTTTGTTATTGTATTTTTATTTATAAAGAAAGGCTATGGGTGTTTCTTCAAAAAAAAAAAAAAAAAAACTAAGAAAAATAAATAAATTTAACACAAATTAGACAAGACATCTTCCATTGACAAAGAAATTACTACTCTGGTAAATATACTCCAATGCTGAACTGGAGGTTAATTTAGAAAATTTTCTTTGGATGGTTGTGATCAAAGCTTTCCTAAATCTCCAGAGAATGCCAATCATAAATTAAACAGCCGAACTCATTCCAATGTTTACTTTTGTGAGTAAGGAACCCAAACAGCTGAAAAACCTTAACTTGACATGCATGAGTGAGGGTGATGGAGAGAATAAAGATTTGAGCAGATTTGAATTAGATTGGAGTTTGATGCAATGAAAATGAGATGGTCAGTTGGCTTAAAAAAGGGTGAAACTTGAGCTTGTGGAGGTAGATTTATTTCCCTACAGACTCTTTAATTGGTCAGATATATGCATTTCTTTATGAGTTATAACTGTATTTTTGAAATCGGTGTATCCCTGTTTTTTTGCAAAAAAATGTTAGCTTGTTTCATAGTATTTCAATATTGATTAACATTGCATAAAAGAGGGATTCTCTTATAATTGCTGAATAGAATTTTAAGGAGCTTAATTCCTATGGTATATTGATTACTTGACTTAGGTGATTAGCCCTAAGTTATTATCATTACCACCAACCTAATCCATAATTCCCTTTTCAGATTTTTTTTTTTTTTTTCAGGACTCATTTTGTGTCACTCCATGCATGAACATCGATTCTAGCCATTACAAGATACCTTTTACAGTTTTCTGAGAAAAAAATATGAAGAATGTGTATTTAATGCAAGAACAGTTAATGTATTTTAAACATTGGACTAGGCTAGGGTAATCAAAAACTTTTTAAAAACTGTTTGGGGGTTTTAAGCAAATAAGAAGAATAAAATGAACTTTTTTTTTTTTTTTACTGTTAAAGGTTAAAGTGTGCGTTTCCCACAGTCTGTCACCAGATATTTTTTCTCTATTACATAACAAAAAAATATGGCAAGGTAAAATATTCAAATTCCATAAAGGGTTCTTAAATGTCTACATTACTAAATTGCTTTATAAGGAAGGAAGATGTATTCCTTCTTAGCCTGAGTTTGTACATTTACTTCTTTAATGCACTTTTTCATTCTTTTTCTGCTTCTGTTGTTTATTAGAGCTGATATCACAAATCAATTTCTCCATTGTCAGTTCAATAAATACCTATCTTATCCTATCTTAGCTTTTATTTGTTGCATGATCTGATGAACTTTGAGAACAGAATCATGGATGCCTGTATCCAGAGAAAATTAGGCAAGAAATGAGGTGCACCTTGGAAATGACAGCAGTTCATCATAGAAATATGGAACAGGAAGCTATGTACACCAGTTCAGCTAAAATGCATTTTTTGTATTGTGGGATAAAATCAGAAGTAAACTGAGAAGACTTTCATTCAAGGAAAACATGCTAACTCTATGCAAAAAATAACCCCTGTCTAGGGATTGAAACCAACATATTCTTGCTGTAAATCAAAAGGGATATACAATGCTGGTAAGATGAAAAATAACATTCTTTTTAAATAATATGTACAAATGTCTTATCAATGAAGGATTTATAAAAAAAAAATACGTATGCTTAATTGCACCACGAAAAGGTGGTCTGGTCAAAACCAAAGCATGCAAATTAAAAGGCTGTACAGATTTATGAGCAGTTTTAAAACAAATAATTATCTGCTGCATGGTTTCTTTTTGAAAAAGTCTCTCACTGTCTCTCAAACTATGGGGAATAGAATGCTAAAACTTTAAATCACTTTAAAGATAACTCTAAGATCACAACAGCTTTCTCTCTCCCCCCTTCTTTATCTCACTATCTCTTTCTCTCTCCCCTTAATTCTTATCCCCTCTCCCCTTCTGATATTCCTTTCCATCTCCCTGTCTGTTGTATATTTTATTCCCCACACCATTTTTAATAAAGCTAATAACATAATTTCCAAGCAAAACCTTATGACAACAACTATAATGGTCTTTTTGTGAAAGAAAATCTGGTGTGCTGCTATCTAGCTCCCGGACACCAATTTCCAAAATTATATTTGCAAAGCAGGACAAGAGAAAAATACATGTCCATGTATAATGTGGTTTAATATAAAATTAATGAGCACCAGATGATGTCATATAAGGAAGTCGAATAGTCTGCAGTTGCTCACATTGCTGTTTAGTTTTTGTAGTACTTTCTGGTTCTTCAAAACTAAGGCCAACAGGGTTACATTAAATCCTTGAGTTTATTTTAATTCCTAAAAATGCTCAGATTAAAAGAGTAAAATAAAAAAAATAAAAATAAAAACCTTGCTTTGAAAAATTGCTCCAAACAAAAACATTTATTGTACTTTGAAGTAAGTAGGACAATATGCAAACTCTCTGATGAGTTGGTTTGGATGGGAAAAGTTAAAATATAGAAATATCCAGACCGGTCTTTAAATCCAAGGTACACATGCTGATGTTGGCACTGTTATTTTTTTTATTTCTACTTACATTTAAAAGCGGTGACAGCTCCACCACAACCATTGGCTCGCTTGGCTGTGGTTCAGGACGCACAGTCACTGTCATTATCTTGGAGTTAATCACTGCAGGAGGACTATAAATACAAACACATATAAATGATAAATAAAGAGAGCATGTAAAAACAAATACTCTAGTAAACAGAAAACATTTAATGAGACAGATGGAACTCTTAGGAAAGGGTGTCTGTAATAGAAGAGTTCCTTATACTACAGGGGAACCATATGAAGATTTTTAGGTGGGCATATGGTATCCCAGCTGGACATGCAAGAGTATTGTACAACGGAAGCCTAGAACAGTTGCCGAGACCAAGACCAATAACTTATGCTGTATTGGTCTTGGCCTCAGCCTGTAAATGTCTTGATCTTGTCTCTGTATTCCTAGGTCTTGGTTGGTGTGGTCTTGACTAAAATATTACTTTTAGCTTTGTCATGCTTTTAATACTTACAACACTTTATTGTGTTTTATTAATTCATTATATTCTTTATAAAACTGTTTACTCGACTGGTGACTTAATCCATTGTGCAGCACTTTGTTTAAGGATTGTTGTTATTAAATGCACTATTGAGATGTGACTTGACAAATTTCATAAAATGATTGCCATTAAGAAATTCAGAATCTCCTGCAAAACAGAACAAAAAAAAAAAAAAAAAAAAACACATCAAAATGCAACTGCCTTGCAAATTCAAGGCAAAGACCTTTACAGGTCAAGGCCAAGAACTTATATGGTATTGTCTTGGCCTAAACCTCTAAATGTCTTGGTATTGTCTCGGTATTTCTAGGTCTTGGTTGGTGCGGTCTTGACTACAACATTACTCTTAGCTCTGTCATTCTTTTACTATTTACTAAAGTTATTGTATTTTATAGTTTCATTATATTCTTTATAAAACTGTTTGCACCACTGGTGACTTCATCCATTGTGCAGCACTTTGTTTAAGGATTGTTGTTATTAAATGCACTATTGAGATGTAGATTTGGTCAGTAGACACAAAAGCCAAAGCACACAGCTGAGTTTTTTGGGTAAACCTTAAACCTTAAACTGATTAGCAGTCTAAGTGGTTTGCAAAGGTAGGTAATCAAATATTGGGACAACCACTAACATGAAAACCTGGTCACCTTTGTTTTAGAGTTGTGAACTGGACAACAGCTAATTTGGCTAGTTTAAAGCTCTGGATATAGCATGAGGATGCTTGGCTATGTTATGGTTACGGCAGTGGTGGCTGAACTGTGCTTGAGTCATAGAGCATTAAGATTTGGGATGCCAGGAGTGGGAAATGTGGAAAACAGCATCAGTTCTGTTTCAAATTACTTCAAAACCATTCGCAGACAGACCGACAGACAGAATCTAAAAGATGAAAAAATTACCCACCTTGGTCCAGGTAAGATGACGCCAAGAGTCCTGTACAAAATGGCTCCAATGACATAGTACATTGTGGTTTCTGATTCTGTTTCAGGCTCTGAAAAATAAAGCAAAAAAATGTCACTAGATATATTCTGTACGATTATATTTAAAGCAAACGCTTAATCAAAAAAAAAAAACTCAACTCTAAAAACACAAGACAGGAATATTTTGGCACAGTAGTACATTAGACAGAGAAGCAATCCAAAAATTCTAGGTTTGATCCCAGCTTCATCCTGCCACCTGTTGATGTTCATCTGGGCAAGGCACATAGCACAAGTGGTTGAATACTCTGTGTACTGTTGCACAATTGTATGCACACCCATGAGTGCATATTAATCTGCTGTAATACAGAAGCCACATTATCAAAACAGTCAAAAACTAATATGGACCAAGCCTTGGGAAAAAATATATTTAAAATTCAAGTTGTTATAGTGAATGCTCCTACAGTATGTCTCTTGGGTTGAAAGAAAAATGTTTTATTCTCAGCAGCACTCGCCTCTAATCCCTAACTTTAACCCATATCCTATCATATCTCTCATCAAACATTCTCATTCACAGTCTTTACCCAAAAGAGCTAGGCTTTCCAAAGAGATGAAGTATCAATTTGTGATCATTATCTGGCAAAATGGCAAATCAAGTGTGGCCATATATATAGCCTGTGGGAAAATTTCTTAGGAACATTCAACATTTTTTGGGACTTACAGATACTTGTGGTAACCAATGAATGGTCCCAGTGAGGAAAGGATCTTAGGATGGGAGTAGTTTAGGACTAAGGCATGAATTGAGTTTTGGTTAGGTTTAGGGCTGGGTATGCGTTAATAATGGTTCAGGTTAGGGTTTGGGTAGGGGTTAGGCTCAGGCCATATCAAAGAATGGAATATGAATGGGAGCCATTGGGAAGTCGACACAATGATAGTGATGGTGGTTATTACTTGGGTAAAGAGTTTTTTTTTTTTTGCAAAATGATGCAGAAGCATCAAGAACAAGGAGTGAGGAAAGAGCAGGAAACAGAGGGAGGCTGATGGAATCAGACATTCTGGGTGACTCATCTAGAATCTGTCTGCCTGAATGCTGCCTAAGAGGTAATGCTTTGGGAGAGAGATAGGATAGCAAGACAGACAGAAAAAAATGATGAGACTAAAAGAACTCAACAGCAGGGAAGGAAAAAAAAATATTTCTGAGATTGTGATGGGTCAAAAATCTAGATCAAAGTTAGGATGAGAAAGTCTGAGGGAACCTAATTGGACGGAGTCCTTGAAGGCATGCAGATGAGAGAGTCTATATGGTACATCTAAATGGTAAATCAGTATGTGAGGGGGTGGTACTCCTGCTCTCAACAGTGATTAATGCCACAAAAGCATATCCAATGTCGGGATTTTTCATCATTCTCTTACAATTGCTGAATGCTGAAATTATGTGTTCAGCCATAATCCTGCAAAATGGCAAACCATCAGTAACCATCCATGAACTTTAATATGCCATTTATCAAGAAAAGGTTTTCAAGTTGATTGGAAAAATAATGTAGACAAAATGTATTTCTTTAATCAGCAATTAAATACTTTCATCCTGCTATTGCTTTTCCTTCTTTCTTCAAAAGAGGAAAAAGAATACTGACTTGGTCATAGTGAAGTTTTGTATGAGGCATCCAGATAACAAGAGTATTGCCAATGTTGTTTTGGTAAAAATGTACATCTTGACATTGATGTAACATATTGCAGGAGTATATGTTTTTTAGAAAAACTAGATATATACTTTGGAAAAGTCAAATGAAGTCATTTTTATACAGCATAGAACATTATAATGGGGGCGGTGGTCACATCTAAGCTTAGTTTTTTTATAATGTAATAATTGAATTGATCAACCAAAATGCAGTTAGCTTCATCAGCAAAAAAGGCTGAACTATAATCTCCGAAACGATAAAATAAGTCTTTTTTTTGACCGAATCTTGGGCTTTTGATACCTGGAATTTGTTTTTTAACCTAAGTGAAAAGGCCTTTTAGGTAATTTATATCCTTTAAACTTCAATAGCTTAATAAAGGCTGCAGAAAATGTATTTAAATCAACCTAAATGACAAACGCTATTCTAAAGAAAACTGATCAACATCTCCAGTCTAGGGGTTGGTGATTGTAAGAACCAAAGGAATACCCATCGTACTTTATGATAAAAGGTAAATATATAAGGTATAAGGTAAACAGGGTTTCAAAATAACTACAGTGAGAAGTAACACATATTTGATGGACCACTGTTCGGTAAAGATTTTTTTAGTTTTTTTTTTTAGTTTTTGAGACACTAGTGCAGGGGTCGGCAACCTGCGGCTCCGGAGCCGAATGCGGCCAGATTTTGTTTGTTTGTTTGTTTTAATATGGTGTGCAGGAGTTCAAAGGCAAATTAATAATGTTTTCCAATGCTGTAAAAATCTGGATAATTAATACATTAAACATGATAGCCATAAAGATCGGTGGTCATAACTTGCAACCAGCCTTGCGCGGTGCCAGGCAAACAAAGCTGCAAGTGTGTCTCGGACCATTGAACCCAAAGGGAAAAAAGGAAGATAGCTAATAACAAAAGAGCATTCAAACAGACAGAATCATTTGCTTTCATTATCAATGTGGAATGATTGCCTGCATTTTTGCTTTGTAATGAGAGGTTGTTAAAAAATAAAAATAAAAATTTGGAAAGGCATTTCCAGGGAGGGCAAGCTAAATATGCAGCCGACTACCAAGTTGGGGGTGAGAGAAGTGCGATTGCAGAACTTCCGGATAAATTAGAGGAAAGCAAAGATAGTTTTAAGAAGTGGATCAAATCTCCAAACTCCACTACTGCCGCTAGTTTTGTTGCAAGGATGGAAAACAGGCCATGGTTTAAACAATTGGAGCTCTAATGCAGGTATGTGAACTTTTTTTCAGTTTTTCCCTAACTCCTAAAATTATAAATCACACTAATTAATGATGGTGACGGAGGATGTGGGATTTCAGGGTTAGATAGCTTTGCTCTTATGGATGTCAGTTCCTGCTTGTTCCTCATGACTCAATCAGCTCCTCCCAACAGAAACATGTCCGCAATAGAAAGAATCCTTTATTGTGTTTCGATCACTTCTTCAATGCAACAAAACTTAAACCGTACGGTGAAGGAACGTTAAGCGGTGAAGCGGCGCACGATGGGAGCGTTCACTGCTAGCATTTCTAAAGTTCAGAAGGTAGAATGTTGGTTGCTAGCCAACGGTACTGAATGTCAATCAACCGTGGGAAGAATTTACAATGCAACTAATAGAGCCATCGAAATGACAGCTGTGGGAGATTGAGGTAAAATTAACCATATTTATTTTTTATGTTTTTATTTTGTTAAAAAAAACTATGTGAAAATGAAGGAAATATAGAAACAGGAGAAGTCAGTTAACATGAGCAACATATGATTAATGTAAAAAAGTTATTTCCCCTCAAAACCGTCAAAATGACGGCCGTGGGAGTTCTACTGGTAAATTATTCACTAAATCAGTAAATGGGCCATATAGTGATGCTTAAAAGTATAAAGTTCTCACCTCAAATGATCTTAAAACATACTTTTATAGAACAACAGAGAAGAGAACTTTTAGCGTAATACCACTGGAAGCTGCTGCTGCAGTGCATGCTGGGACAGCTGTAAATCTGGAGAATGGACAAGACTGATCTGGTTGTCGGTACAGAGGGAGGGGCGAGAACAACATCCGGGGACTTTGTCCATTCTTGACTTTGTGTTCTTGTGCATTGGAACAGTATTAGGGCTGAGGATGACAACGTTTCACAAGCACATGAGAACGCACAAGTACACATATTGAAAAACAGCCCTAGACTCAACCCATGTGTCCTCCATTCTGTAAGAAATAGCAGCTTTTCTTGTCAGTGTGTTAATTCCTGGTGATGCTGTTGCTCAGCATCATGACGCACAGCTCTTCTCCGTCACCTATCACGTACAGTATAGTGATTGAGTCTATATGTGACGGAACAAAGCAAGACACATTGATTACTAAAAAGCAAATGAGCCACACAGGAAGTCAAAGATGGGGAGACTAACGCAGATTGGGTAATCTTCATCATTTGGTACTGTTGCATGGCAACCTTTAGAGCAGGATGACGCTGCGGACACACACAGTGGAAGTGTGAAGACAGCTTTAAATACGAACTTTAAAAGGCCTTTGAGAGTAGAATTTTTTACTAGTTAGTAGGTGATCAAATACTTGTGCAAAAAAATGCAAATGAACTGCTTAAAATCACACAATGTGGTTTTCTGCAATTTTGTTTTAGATTTTGTCACTCACCATTAAAGAGCACTTATGATGGAAAAAAAAAAAAAGATTTCAACGTGATTAGCAGGTAGCAAAATGTAAAAACTCGACATTGTACCAAATACTTGCTCTTTTTTGTTTTGGATTGACTAAACTAAAATGAAACAAATAAAGGTTCATAGTGATGGATCAAAATTTGAATAATGTAGATGTTTGAAAGTAGCCCATTTCAGTGAACAACATTAAAAATAAACAGTATGTGAGTCCAGCTAGATACCTGATGATCTTTTAAGATCAAGCAGCATCATCAGCACGAGTTAGAGGTCAGAGGAAGCTCTGCACTTCTGGCCTGCAGCCTTCCTGAACTTTAATTTGGAAAGGGGATGGAGTGCCAGACAGAGAGCCTGCCAGTATAATTTCCTGTGGGAGGTGACCTTTGGCTTTGGTGGGAATGGATCACATCTGCCACAGACATTTTCTTCTCGCTCTTTTACTCCTGTTCTTGTTTTCCTTCTTAAATCTTATCTTCAATGCCTTCAGGTGTTTTTTTTTTTTCCTTTTATTGTGTTCTATTCGTTTGATTCTTGTTTTGGCATTTGGAAAACATAATATATTTCTTGTCTCTTGATAACTTAAATGTTATAGGAGTAAAAACCTTTATATTGACAATGCTTTGACAAATAATATTTAGCTTGCCAATGTTTACTTTAAGGTATAGTGGAGGATGCTTCTTTTCCGGGTGGTCCTCCTAATTGTCAATCATTCTGGTGATACGTTTACGTAAGGTCTCCTTATAAGGCTTGCCCCCATTTTTTAGAGGTGAGTCTGACATAGTAGAAAAATTGCAAATCTTCTTTTGGAAAGTAAGCTTGTATGAGCGATGCAAACAGCAACTTTTAAACATGGAGTGCATGAGGAGAAATAGGCTCCTGCTTGCTCTCATGTGTGTTTAATAGGCATTCCCTTTTAGGAGTGGGTACAGGGTTTTGCATGTGCATTTTTTCTTAAAGTGGAGAGGGCGTGTCTTTAAAAAAATTGCAAAGAAAATTGCCATCATATACAATTCTAAGTCATCAGGCCATTTTTAAAAGAAAACAGAAAACAAAATAGAATGCATCTTTTCCATATTATTATTATTATTGTTGTTAATATTAACATTACTTGTTGGATCCCGCTGTCTCACACTTGTACAATGTTGTTCTTGCTTCATATGTTTTAATATTAAACTTTACAACACCATGGCATTTGGTTCTTTGATTTTTGAATCACTTGCTTAAAAGCTGCTGTCTCCTTTCACTGAGCACACACCTGTGTCTACAATGTCCTCAGTTTGAAAAATTATGCAATTTGCTTTTCAATAGCATGAAGAGTTTAGAAAAAAAAAGAAAGAAAGAAACCCAAACATCTGGCAATGTGAAAATTCATGCATATGAGAAGGAAGCTGGATGAATATTTTTACAGTGGACATGCAAGGAAACTGCATGTCTTATTTATGTCAACCTTATCGCAAATATGACAAAAACAATATACCCTGCACAAATGACAAATACATGCTAATTTTTTAATATATATATATATTTTTTTTATTTTTGCAATGTAGGTTGGACTCATAAGGTGGAGTTAGCTTTGTGGTGTCCATGGTTATGGGGACAAAAAACTTTTTATAAATTTTTATATATGTTAAGCGTAGTAAAAATCACCCTGTGAGGAAGAAAAAAACGGGATAAATGAGTTTGCTCTCTGGTCTTAGTCTTGAAAAGTGCCATCTTTGTCTCAGAAGCTGTTATAACTTCATCCATGCGTTGATCCTTTAGCTTTTGACAGACAGATTCAGGCAAATCTCTAACTTCAAAATTATGTTTGAAATCTTCAGCCTTTTTCTGCTTTAATCTGAATCTTTACTTGATATTCTGGCTGAATCTGGTAGCGGCGGTTATGGCACAGACAGCAAGTTACAACACAACAAACAGATGTAGAAAACAGATGTTACCAACATTTTCAGAGCCTCTTTGCGTCATCTAAGAGTGACAGTAATTCTGTCCAAGAATTCTTCAAAAACTTTTGATTGTGGTGATATTTATGGGCTAAATCATGACAAGGTGTTTATATTTACCTACCGTCGCCAAAAGAAGCTGTCAGTCATTGTGTCACTCACGCATGTTTTTACACATGGAATTTTCCACATAGTAATTTATATTTACTTTATTTAATATTATACAGAGCAGGAAATGCAGGCCTGGGGGAGAGTTATGAGTGCTAAAATGACAATTTGGCCGTGCAGACCTCAGGGATGCATCAAGCATAAACCAAGCTTTAAGAACTATAAGAAGAAGGGGAGTGCTTAAAAAAGCTGTACTTCTTCAGCTCCTTAAGCAACCCATAAGCACTTAATAATACACATTATATATATATATATATTGATATATATATATTAGGGATGGGACGATTTATGAAAACCGTCCAAACCGCTCGGTTCGACTGTCTCGGTTCGATTCACTTGTGTTTCGTTCGGTTCATGCGCTGCTCCTTTTTCTCATAGGCGAAGCGTTTACACTCCAGAGCAGAAGGTGGCGGTACTGCGACCAAAGCCAACCACCAGTAGTAAACAAGAAGAAGAAGAAGCGAAGCAGCATAGCAGGAAAAAAATCAGTTGTTGTGGAGAATTGTGTCGGAATGGCGAGTGGG